GAGCCTTACGCTCCGTCTTCTGCTCCTCTCGGATGCTTTCCCGGCCACACCAGCTCAAGCTAGCTTCTCTCCCGAGGGTGCTGCATCCCTGCAGCTCTGTCTCCCTCACCGAGGTAGACAAGGATGGCTGGCTTTGTCTTTTTCTTTCTCTGCCCTGTTCCCAGCATCTAAAACCATGCCCAGCACAAAATAAGTCCTCAATACATACTTCTAAAATGAACCCATCAATTTTGAAAGGCATTACGGTATTGTGATTTAAAACATAGACCCTGGAGTCAGGCCACCAGGGTTGGAACCCCAGCTCTGTGCTTAGTAACTGTGTGACCTTTGGCAAACTTGAGTGTGCCTCGGTGACCTTTGACATTACTGTTGCAATGGTTTGGGGAGCACCACAAACCGTGCTGTTAAAAGATGGTGAACGAACAGCATGTGGTCTGCCTGCCCCACCGACTGGCTCTTCCCCTGTCTCTCTTCCTGTCCTCAGGCCTCTCTGTTCCCTGAGACACGGCAATGTTGACATCAAGCCAGTTAATAACACTACAGTGGCCTTTAAGTGTTCAACTGAAAGGAAGAGTTACACATTTTTCACTTTAAATCATAAGGTAGAAATGATGAAGCTTAGTGAGAAAGGCATGTGGAAAGTCAAGATAGGCTGAAAACTAGGCCTCTTGTTAGCCAAGTTATGAAGGCAAAGGAAATTTTCATAAATGAAAAAATAGTGCTATTCCAGTGAACATACAAATGGTAAGGTAAGAAAGTGAAACAACCTTATTGCTGATATGGAGAAAGTTTGAGTTGTCCAGAAAGAAGATCGAATCAGCTACAACATTCTTGTATGCCAAGGTAACTATTATAGCTATGTTCAGAGATGTAAATAAGATAATATAATACATGAAAATGTAGAAAATCTCAGCAGATAAATAGAATTTATACGAACTACATGGAAATTCTAGAACAGAAAAGTAAAATACATGAAATTTTAAAAATTCACCAGCTAGTCTTAACCACAGAATGGAGATGACAAAAGAAAGAACCGTGAGCTTGAAGACACATCACTAGGAACTATATGAACCGAAGAAGAGAAAAAGGTCATAGAAAGAACGGTGACTCGGGGACATGTGGAACAACATCAAAAGGTCCAGCACAGGTATAATTGGAGTCATAGAAGGAAAGGAAGACTGATGAGGGTGTCATGGCCGAAACTTCCCAATTTTTGGTAAAAGGGCTAAATGTATATTCAGGGAGCCCAGGAAACCCAAGAAAGATAAACACAAAGAAAATCATAGGGAAACTGCTGAACACCAAAGTCAAAGAGAGAAATCCCAAAAGCAGAAGGCACATTATAAGCAGGGGAGCAGGGATTTGAGCCACCGTTTACCGCTCCTCAGGACCATGCTGGCCAGAGACAGGGGACGGTGCCTTTGACGTGCCGAAAAGGAAACAAAAGGTCTCCCTACCAAGAATTTACATCCGGCACAAGTCTCCGTATGAATGAAGGGGAAATAAAGATGTTTTCAGATTACAAAAGAACACAAAGATAATTTATTGCCAGCATACCTTCACTGTAAGAAACATTAAAGGGAGTACCTCAGTTTGAAAGAATTTGAAACTAGGTAGAGACCCAGATGTTCATGAAGGAATAGAGAACATTGGACATGGTAAATAACCAATTAAACATAATGGGCAATTTTTCTTAATTTAAAAAGAACACATAAGAGCGTTGAGGGTAAACAATATAACACTGTCTTACAGGGTGAATACTATAGGTGCATGTAAAACAAATTAGCACAAAGGATGGGGGGGGCCAGAAAAGACCCATATGGTTGCAAGTTTTCTGCATTTTAGCTGAAGTGGTTCAATAGTAAGTCTAAATAGACTATGAAAAGTGAAGGGCGCATATTGTAATTCTTAGCACAACTACCAGAGAAGTGGTGCAGAGGCCTGGCGCCCCCGTCTCTCTCACATGGAGCCCGGGGGCGGCGGCTCTGCCTGGGAGGCTCTGCACAGCTGTGCTTAGAGAGGCTGAGCTGCTCGCTCAGCTTCGGGTTGTTCCCGTGCAAAGGAAAATGAACTCCAGGGGGCAAACGGGCCACGGCGCAGCGCCTGTCTGCTCCAAGCCCAGCGTGGAGTGACCTGGGGGGGCCCCCCCGGGGAAGGATCAGTCTGCAGTCTAAGTGACGTCCCCGGGTGCAGAGCAACTATGTGGTGAGTGAGACTGTGTCAGGCCACAGGTTGTCACTCTTTGAGGAACTTCCTTAGGGAGATGCATCCTCGGAAAGCCTGAAGGACATGATCTTGAATGGTTAAACACTGCAAAATCTGTTTTATAAATGTTGCAATTTAGCCTTATGTTAAACTGCAAAGCGCCTCCAAGGGCTGTGATCAATCCAGTTGATTGGCTGCTGTGCTCACCTTAGACACGAGGGCCGCGCAGGGGGCGGCTGGGGGCCGCACTCCCTGGGGCTGGATCCTCCCAAGGCTCGGTGTGGACGGGCGGCGGCCCACCCGCCCTGCTGGCCAGGCCGCCTGCAGCGCAGCCCCCCCGCCTGGGGCCGCCCAGCCCTCCAGGCTGTGGAGCATTTGCCTACAGACATTTTCTCCCTCTCCGTTACATATGTTTTTATGAAAGGGCTGAGCAGGAGGGATTTGCGATGAATAATTCATGTGTAATTGTTTTCAAAATATGAAGTTATTTTTCAAAGGAAGCACCAATCTATCCATTTCAGAGACCCCCGCTGCTTCCACGTGGGCTGCAGCCTTCCTTCCGACACTTGGTCCCAGGCTGGCATCGGCTCCTCCGCAGGGCCAGGCCGGGGTGTGTGTGCAGGCGGCACAGAGCTCCCCGGATTCCCAGCACGCGCAGCCTGCCCGCGTCCCCAGGCGGACCTTGGGGCGGTCTTGGAATCCAGTGCTGCGCCCTGCGAGGTCCCCAGACAACACAGCCACACCTGCGTTCACTTCCCTGTTCCTCGGTTTCCGATCCTACACCAAGCACATCCTGTGCATTTTTACGCACGCGTGCACGCACGCACACACAAGCCCAGCCAAGTCGAGCCTGACCAACTGGGTGCTACCGATACAAGGAGCCACCTTCATATTCAGTTTATTACTGAGGTAGACAGCCAATGCTGCCAGCTCCTGGGCCCGAGTCCCACACACCAAAAAGGACAGCGCCAAGAGAGGAGGAGTGGATAACTGCACTGCAGGCGGTAGGCGCCCCGGTGCAGCCTACTGGGCGCACGTGCTGCGGCTCCCGTGTGAGGAGCTGGCGCCGAAGGCTCTGTGCCTTGTCAGGACCCGGAGGCGAGGAGACTGCGTGTGGCAGCCTCCGGGAGAAATGGCAGGCAGCTGGGGGATGACCCCCCCCAGCACCCCCAAGCGGCGCCCGCCCTCGGTGTCTGTTCTCGGGGTCTCCCACGGCGTCCCGCCAGGACCCGGAGGAGTCTTCGCCCGTGCGGCCGGTGCGGGTGCGAGGAGGGCGCCAGGGCGGCGTGGCGGAGGCTGTCCCGCACCTCCGGGCCCGGCGACCGTGCTCCAACAGTGGGGCTCATCGTAGGCGTTAACAAGAAGCACCCCAGGTTCTGTCGTTACCTAATCCCGTGCCTGGGGCAAGCCACCCAAGCTTTCTAAGCCTCGGTTTCCACATCTTTAGAATGGGGTTAGTGAGAGAGACTTTCTCTAGGCTTATTGTAAGGATCAAATGAGACTCAGGAACTCGGCACATACCTGCCATGGACATCGCGGTGGGAAGGTGATGGCGGGGATGGGGATGGATGTGGCGGCGGCGATGGCGGCGGCGGCGATGGCGGGGATGGTGACGGTGCTGGGTACCGTCTCGCTGCATCCTCTTGCCTCCTCTCCCCGTTTAGCCCTCTCCAGGGAATGCAGTCCGTGCGCGCTCACCCTGCTAGTCCTCTGCTCTCTCACTCGCTCTGGCTTGCGGGAGCATCAGACCCCTGGCGTTAGTTGCTCTGTGTGCTCCCCCGGCCTCCAACGCGCTTTCTTCAGAACTCCCCTCCCGACGTGGCTCTCCCAGCAGCTTTCTTTCATGTGCCCTGGGGCGGGGGGGACAATGGTCATCATCCTGGACATTTTGGTGAGGATGGTGGTGGTGACACAGACACATTTTGAATGCTGATTCTATGTCCTTTTTCTAGAAGAAAAGCCATGCTTTCTCATTTAAATGGCAAATACTCGAGAGCAGCAGGGATGGTGTCTTCCGTCCACCTGTGCCCCCCCGGCTTCACTTTAGGGGTTTCACCTCCAGGCAGAGAACACTGTCCGGGTGTTGACAGGCCATTGACAAAGGGGTGACGTCAACACGTGCCTCTTGAACAGCCCCGCCAATGCCCTTGGATGGTGTCTTCTAGATCCTTCCGCTTCACCATTGGAGGTGCAAGGGAGTGTGTTTTCTCTGTGCCCCGCACATACACGAAGTGGAAACGTTGCAAACAGCAGGTTTGTGTGGTGGGAGGAAGGGGCCGTGGACACGTGCAGAGCGTGGACTCGCCCAAGGAGAGGAAAAGGGGTGCCGTGGGCACCCCCAAAGGCTGGCAGTGTGGACCGTCGATCGTAATGGAACTTTTCGTTTTCCTCCTGAAACTGCCTTGCTCCGCGTTGTTCGTGTTTCCCAGGATGAGCGTGAGCACAAACCTGACTTAGGGGACTCGGACACATCGCAGTCCCGGCCCAGTGAATTCGGGCATCCCAGGCGGCCCGGCCTCTCGGAGGGTTCGCAGCACCGACTGCAACCCGAAGGCCGTGCTGACGGAGCCCCAGGCTGGGCGCCCGCTTGTCCTTCGTTCACTCGCTGGCTCAACAAACCAACCTGATACTGGGCCGGGGACGCTGGATGCCTGGGCCCCGGGCTGGAGCCTGTGGATGGGGGGCAGACACGTACCAATCGCAGGCTGGAGCAGGGGGAGCCCACTGCGGGGCCGGAGGGCTCGGCAGGATCCGGGACAGCCCTGCCGCCTCTCCCTCACTTGTCTTCCTGCCAGGTGCTGCAAGGCCACGGAATGCCCATGGACAATGACCAGTACGCCCAGCTGACGGCCAGAGTGGGATTTAAGAGAGAAGGGATGAGTTCTCTGGATTTTGCGACAGGACTAGAAGGTAGCTCCTCGCCAAGTGCCAACCCTGCCAGGCGCGTCTCTCAGCCAGGGCCCTGCCGTCCCTCCGAGCGCAGGGCAGCGCCGCCCGGCTGCTGGGGTTGATGTAGTGGGAGCCCAGAGGTGGACACAGTGTTTGTTCTCTGGCTGGAACAGGCCTTTTTGTTTGATTTTATCTGACTGCCTTCCAGCCATCCCCCCCGCCCCAAGTTAAGCTGAGTTGTGAGGGCAGAATTTTGCCTGACAGAGCCTTCTACAAACTTACAGCAAAATGGTTTGTAAAGTTTGCTCCGAAGCCTCGTGAGGTTTAAATCGTACCTCATGTTCTTGAAGATCTTCCTCCTTTTATTAGAGGCTGGTCATCTGTAATGAATGACACCTGAGCACCAGCAAGACCAGTGTCCTTTGCGCTTTTTGCCGAAAAGGACATGGACTCTGTAAGAGTCAGCGACTTGCCCAAGACCGTCCAGCGCCTCTCCTTCCCCAGCCGGTGTCAGGAAATCTGTCCTGTCAAGCGTGGCCAGGCCGGAAGCCGGGTCCTCTGTGGTCCTGCCCCTCGGTCCGCCCTCCTGGCCTCACTCCTGGGCGGGGTGCAGTGCCCCCACCCCCCAGATCCCTCCCCTGCCCTCCTCTCCGCTCTCACTGAGGCTGCTTCTCCTGTGCCGGGAAGTTTGGGTGGACAACCCCACCCCGCAAACGGTCACTGGAATCTGCGTCTCTGGCGCTGCCGATGCTCCGCAGACCGGACAGGGCGGACCCCGGCCGCCCCGTCTGCATCTTGCCATCCTCCCCGAGTTTGTTCTGGGGGAGGTCCCGGGTCTCCACCAGGGACGGGTGGCTGGGGCTTCTCACCAGGGAGACGCCGCAGAGCCACCCAGCCTGCCAGACGTTCCCCTCCCATCCCCAGGGGGAGAGGGGCTCTGCACAGGAAGAAAAGGGCAGCGCATAGGTGGTTGGAATGTTGACGCTTTCGTTGGGTTTATGCTTTGACATTTTTGAAGGGAAAGGAATTCACGTGTATTTCAGTGAGGGTGTCCAATGTGCCAGGTGCGTTCATTGTTCAGGGAGGAGATTGAGGCCCAGGCTGACCAGGTCGCTGGCCTGAGGTCCCAGAGCAGCGAGGCCGTGGCACAGTGCGAACCTGACCCAGGAGCTGCCAACTGCCCTGGGCCCCCTCCCTGCCGCGGCTGTTCTTCCCCTCACCTTCCCCCGCCATCCTCCATCAGCCTCCAGTGCTGTCTCCCCACAGGGTCAGGTGCCGCGCAGGAGGGGGGTTGAGGTTCTCGACCCGAGGCCTCGGTAGAGAACAGGCCAAACGGAGTCCCGCCGCTGGGGTAGGCATCACCTGCCAGGCATCAGGGACCCAAGGGAGGCCACGGCAGCCCTGGTAGAGCAGCGCAGGAGCCGGGCGCATGGCGGGGTCAGAGCATGCCCACGGGCTCCAGGCCCTGTGCCCGCCCGCCTGTCCCATACGCCACGCCCGTGCGGAGGGTATGGGTGCCGCCTGCGCGGAGAACCACGCCTGTGGCCCGGGCCCAGGTCTACAGCCTGGCTGTGGTCAGCGCCGCACTCCCACGAGTGCAGCCCGATGGCATGGAAGGTCACACTGCCTTCCGCGGTGTAGGCGTCCGAGAGGGCAGAACGCGGTCATTCGCCGGCGTGCTCTGGAGTCAGGCAGGCCTGGGCCCAGCCGCGCCGTTCAGGAGCACTGCGCCCTGCGGCGGGGGGCGCGCCCTGGGCCTCCGTCTCCTCACAAGCAAGGCGGGCGTGATAACAGGGTTCCTGGGGAGTAAACAAGGCACAGGAAGAGCACCTTGGTCGTGGGGCTGTTGAAAGGACAGAGCCCAGTGCCTGCGGCAGGTCCGTGGTCAGGCAGCGCCTGTCGATTCATGAATGTTGCCTGGATCACGCATCCCTGGGTTTAGGACGAGGTTCTGGGAAACCAAAACCAGGCAGGCGTCCTTATCCTCTGCCCCTGGGAAGGGGAGAGCAACGAGATACGTCCCTGCCTGGGAGGAGGGACGGAGAGGCAAGATAGGAGGGCGCACGGGGGTGGCGGCCGGCACGTGCTGGGCGGGAGCCCTGCAGCCCACGGGACCAGGTCCTCCCATGGGGACAGTGAAGTGTCTGAGACCGAAGGTCGGGAACCTGGGTCCCAGCAGAGCTAACGCTGTGTCCTCTCGCAGGGCGGACCTCTGTGCAGCGTGTTTCCGTGGGACGGGGGTGGGGCTCTGCAGTGCTGAGTGGGAACAGGGAGGTGCCCGTGCCGCTGAGGGCGTCCTCCGACGTGGTGACTGTTTCAGGTACCAAAACGAAGGGGCCGCAGGTGACCCCACCTCAGACTGCAACTCCTCCAAAAAGTAAAGTGACCAGCGATTTCGTCAGTGCTGAGGAATGCCTGAAACTTCTCCCTGAGAGGCTGAGGGAGTCCTTCCGGGTGAGCGGGGCCCTGTCTGCGGCTTGGCTTCCTGCCCCCCGCCATTTAGCCGACTTGGGTGTGACTCTGAGCCACCCCCTTCTGGCCCTGCTCCTCACAGACCACAGAGCACTTTGCTCCACCCCCTGGGGAGGCAGCGGAACTCTGCATCCCCTCCCCTCCCCGATGCCCTTCCCTGCGGACACTTTGCCGACTCTGCCATCTGCCTCTGGGAGGCCCTGTACAGAGACCCTCCTCACAACTGGGTGGGGGGAGGTGGGTGGGAAGGACACGGCAACCCGAGTCACAGCCAATTTAGGGCCCTCCTGTCCACTCCGCTCCACTCACTCACTCGCTAGGCACACTTGTGCCGGAGTCTGCCGAAAGCTGGGGGCGGAAGGCACAGCCCTGCCCAGGGAGCTCAGTCCAGCCCAAGGCACAGACGGTAACCAGACAAGCTCAGACCCCTCGTGACTGGCCGTCACAGAGGCAAGTGCAGTGTGCTGGGGGGACACAGGGAAAAGAGCCCCTTACAGAGGGCTTCCTGGAGGAGGTGACCACTGAACCGACTCTTAAACCCTCAGCATGTGCTGGCCAGAAACGAAGGCAACAAACAGTAGAAGAGGGAGCTTGTGCAAGGCTGGGAGCAAACAGGCCGTGGTCTTTGGGGAAAAGCTCACAGCTCAGCGTGACGAGGGCGGGCTTCACGTGGACATCTGTTACAGAGGAGACGGGAGAAATAGCAGCCACTCAAACACAGAGGCAGGTGCAGGGCGACTACGCCTTGGTCTGTGCTGAGAAGGAACAGAGGGTGTGATGGAAGCGGAAAGCAAGCTCTCAGCCGGAAACCTGCGGGCTGCCCGCGGAGCGCTCTGCACGCGTTCGCAGTTAGCCCTCACAGCCAGCAGGGAGCTGGAGACTGTCATAAGGCCCTTCTACAGATGACAAGGGTGGGGGATCAAAGGACCTCCCTGCCCTCAGTCCCGTTGCTGGGCAGTGGCAGAGCTGGGACCTGAGGCTCAGCCATCAGCCCCGGAGGGCCCTCTTTGTGCAGCACAGCCTCTGCCTCCTCATGTGCGCAGTGGGAATCAGTGCCCGTGGGCAGCATGGCCGCCAGAGCACCGGCGCCTGCACAGCCTGTGGGCGGCGGCGGGTGGCAGGTCTCAGCCAGGGCCAGAGCGACAGCACCGTCGCCAGAAACCGCACTGGCCTCTGGCAGCTCCTCGGATGAAGCTCAGGGCATCGCTTGCTTTCCTGTAGAGCCGGGGGTGACGTGGTGGAGGCTGTGTGGAAACGTGGAGAACCCAGTTTTCGTCTGTGCTAGAAACCTGCCCCCAGCACACCCCCAGTTCCGGTGCTGGGTACCGGGCTGTGAACCGAGAGCGGGGAAGGGAACGACAAGGCTTTGTGGGTCCCCCTCCTGAGCTCGGCAGCAAAAGCGCCCTGGTGAGCACGGTTATCCTCTCCGCGCCCCTCGTCACGTTGGAGACGAGTCCGTGCACACAGGCCCACATGCGTGTCGCCGCCAGCGTCCGAGGAAGGGCTTTGATGGGTGCGCTTTGCTTCTAGGACCCCTACGCGGCCTTCTTCAGGATGGACACCGACAGGGACGGCATCATCAGCATGCACGACCTGCGCCACCTGCTGCAGCGGTTACTGTTCAATCTCAAAGACGAAGAGTTTGAGCGTCTGCTGGGCCTTCTGGGCCTGAGACTTGGCGTCACGTTAAATTTTCGGGAATTTCGAAATTTGTTTGAGAAGAGCCCACTCACAACAGACGACGCGCCTCAACGACTCGTTAGGTAAGGAGGTCGCGCGACTCGGCCTCTGTTCCCGCCACGGGCCTTTGCCAGCACTGGGGCCAGCCTTCTGACTGCCCGCAAGGGGCGCAGGGCACGCAGCCGCCTCCCAGAGAACTATTTCGTCTTCTCAGTTCAAGAAAATCACACAATGAGTGTACGTCCCATGTAGAAAGGCTAGAAAATACAGCTGCAGATTAGAAGACATACCTGATCCAACCATCTCTGAGCATTATTTTTGGATTTTATGGTGTGTCATTCTGTCTTTTTTTTTTTCAAATGCACATAAATATGCACACACACATACTTTTTTTGTATAAATCTGGAGTCTGCTTATGCCACCCTTGCCCAGGCCCCACCAATCCAGGCCCCGCCCACCCAGCCCGGCCTTGTGCACACGGCAGGGAGGAGAGTCTGGGGCTCCCTTTGTCCCCGCGGCTCTCTCAGGGGCACTGCCCAGTCCTTGAAGCGGCGCTGGGCATCCAACCCAGCCCGGGGCCCACGCAGTTGGCCCCTGTGAGACCTGTCGAATGCCGACCGGTTTGGATGAAGCAGCCGTTGAGCCCCTCCTTGACCAGTCATTATAATAGTAACATTCCTATTTCTGAGGCGCTCCTGTCCCCCGCGATGCTGCAGACGAGTTTCTGCTGCTGTGGTGGAGCCTGGGCTGCTCTGCCCTCACGGCGCTGCGGGTCCCCGGGACGGCAGGTGCCTCCCCAGGCAGGGGCCGCGCTCGGAGCGGAGCCCCCAGGAGCCCCTGCCCCGAGCTAAACTGTGTGAGAGTTGGGGGGCTGCAGAAAGTCCCCGATCTCACACTTGCAGCTTCCCGCCCGAATTTGCGGGTTTTGCTTTGTGCCTACGCAGAGCAAGCAGGGAGGAAAAGGACTCTGGTCTCTCCTTGACACGGTGGGTCACGGAGCCCGTGTGCCCGCACCTGCTGCTGATTGCTCCATCCTGAGATGCTCTCATGTGACACTTGATTGCTCCACATTAAAACGACACAAAAGATGTCCTTCAGAAAGAATTTTCTGGAGAATGTATGCAGGATGAGTCTGGAACATTCCAAGCACAAAGCGCAGTTTCCCCATTCAAATGGCTCAGCCTTCCGCCTTGTATCTATTCGTTCACTCATCGCATAGCTACGAGGGCCAGGTCTGTGCGAGACGCTGCCCCGGGACGGGGTGTGACGGCGGAGATGATGAACACGCCCTTCGAGGGGCTCGCGGCTGCCTGGGGGACAGGCGCGCCCCAACTCCCTGAGCTGCCGCAGGCAGGGGCGAGGTAAAGCCTGTGCGAGGTGCATAGGAAAAGTGGGATGTTTGAGTTATGTCTTGAGGTGTGAGTAGGAGCTTTGCAGGCCCAGGGTGCAGAGGTGGGAGCATCGAGCACGTTCAGGAAATGGGAGAGGGTGCGTGTGCAGAAGTGGGTGCACAGCGGGCGCAGCGGGCACAGCGGGCAGGGGAGGCCTGGAGGCGGTAGCCACTGGGAAGGGGCTGGAGCCTGGGCTGAGGAGTCCATCCTTCATCGGTGGCAGGGGAGGATTTTATGTCGTGGACTGAGAGGGTGGCATTTTGCTGTCTTTTACTTGAAAATTGTTGGGATTTTCTTGGTTCTTTGTATATTGAGTAATTTTGGATTGTATCATGGATGTTTTTAATATTGTATTATGACCCTCTGGTCCTGTTAAAATCCTTAGGAGTGTGTGGATTCTTTTTTTCTTCCCTAAAGCAGGCAATCAACCCAGTTAGTTTCAGGCCATGAGTCCTGACCCGCCTTCTGTGGTTTCAGTGCCGGCTTGGCTTTGACAGCCGCTGGAGCCCCGCCAGGCAGTGCCCGCGTGCACACGCAGGGCCAGTCTTAACGGCACAGTGGTCACCTCTCGCCGCTTCGCTGGGCTGCCCTGGGTGCCTGTCACACGCGTGCATGGCAGAGGAGAACCTGGAACTTCCGCGCCGGTGCAGGCCTCCCGTGTTCCCGCCCACCCTCTCTTCACTTCCTCCCCACACTCCCCAGCCCCAGCGACCCCCTCCCCCCCCTTTTTTTTTTAGGTCTTCAGTCTTGAAAATCTTAGGTTTTAGCCTGTCTGTGCTATCGAGTGCTTCCCACGACAGGGCCCTCCTCCAGGGCAGCAGGGAGAGAGGAAAAGGAAAGAAAAGAAACAATGCGGTTTCCTCCCGCGCCCCCTGAGTTACTGCTTTCCTGTCCTCTCCGGGGAGACGGGATTGTCGGTTGTGGGTATCGGTGTGGCCACCCCTTCACCACCTCGGAACCGAAGCCTTCTACCTGGGCGTGCCTTGGCTCGGGGCTGGGAGAGTAAAAAGAGGGGACCCCCACATGCTGTGTACCGCAGGGGCCTCCTTCCTAGGGCTCAGGTTAGAAACACTGCCTTTCTTTTGGGGCTCTCCTGTCCCCATCCACGGCCTGGTTCCAGGTGAGGATGTCCCTTGACCCTCGGCTGGGACCGTGGAAGGAAGTGGCCTGGGAAACACCCCGCGTTGTGGCTGTGCCTGTCATTCTTCAAGCCCGGACTTCCCTGTCCGTCTGCCTTGCCCCCAGGACCCACCTGTGAGTGCCCTCGGGGGACAGTTCCAAGTCCTCCTACAGGCCCGCTGTCATCGGTGGCGGGGGGAGAGGGCGAAGTGCGCCCACACCTTCTGAGCTGGGACCAGCGGCACCTCTCGGGCCTCTCGCCCGCCCGCTGCCCGGTGCCGAGCCCCGTGGCCACCTCCTAGCTCCTCAGAGCCGCGCCCGGGCCTTCTCCACAGGGCCCTCCCGCCCATCGTTCCCGGTCACGCTCGGCCTCTGAAGTTACCCGGTTCATTCATTGTTTCGCGTGTTTGATGTAACTTTCCCGCCACCACAGCGTGGGCTCTGTCCACGTCGCTCGTCACAGTGCCGGAGGGACCCAGGGCAGCACACAGCACAGCTTCGTTTGTGTTTGTGACCGAGGGACAGGGGGACAGGGAATCTGCATCTGACGTCAGAACCTGAAGGTCCAGGCTCTAGGAGAGGAAATAAGTAACTTCTGGGAAAGCGAGAGAAAAACCTCTGCACTCTCTAGAGGAGATGAGTATGTAAAGGGGGCCACGGACAGCGAGAGCACTAAGGACACCCCCAGCCCGCGGCCCAGGACACAGGTGGGGTGGACGGAGGCCGTGTGACGCGCGCTTAGGCGACAAGGTCAGTCTGGACGTGCCGCCCTGCGGAGACGGGACGCGCCGCCCAGGGTCTCCGGGAGAGCGCTCCGGGGGAGGCCCGGGCCAGTCCTCTGGCTGCAGGGGGAGCCCAAGGTTGGGGGCCGGGGGACGTGCGCCCTTAGGACCTACAGTCCTCCTAAGCCATTGTTGCGAGAGTGCGACGCGATCCCGCCAGGCTTCCCAAACCTTTAGTGTGAAGTGGGCAGCGGGTTAGGCTGGCCGGCCTTCGGGCCCCTTTGCCCCAAGGTTCCGTGGTTCTGTGCAGTCCGGTAGGCAGTTGGGAGAGATGGAACAGGAAAGGAGGTGAGTGACAGGATGCGTGGTCCGGAGGTGCGGGCGGGCAGCACCCGGGTGGCGGGGGCACCCGGAGAGGGGGGCCTCTCGGAAGAGTAAATAAACTTTGGGTAGAAGGAGAGAGAAGGTCAAGGGTTGGGGGCAGCCAGTAGAGGGGGGACATCACGCTGACCGAGGCCAGGCCCCGGGTCAGGGTTCCGCCTGCTGGTGGCATCGAAGGGGCAGCATCGTGAAGGAAGCGGAGAGCAGAGAGGCGGTCCAAGTGTCGCATGGAACGGGAAAGTCAGCGAGGCCCCTGGACTGGGCAGCGTGGAAGCAGCTGGCGAACCTGAAGCCTGGAGGCGGGCGTCAGCGAAGAGAGGCGCTCCCGCGCAGCTTCCCCAGGCACCCACGCGCCGGCACCTGCCGGGAGAGGCGGGGAGGCCAGGCGGGCTCTCGCCAGGCCCACCTCAGCAGGAACGTGGGATCGGGTGGAAGACCCCCCTCCTCCCAGCTGGTCGTCTGCACCCTGCAACCTGAGAACAGGCAAGGATTGTGTTCACCACACATGGGAGTCAGAGTGATGTCAGTCACCGAAGAAATGCAGCTTTGAATAAGACCCTTTCTACGTGGCACACAGCTCAACAGCACAGCGTGCGTTTCTGGAGTAGTGGCAGTCACCATGAGCTCGGGGACCCTGCGTGTCGAGCCCTGTCATCACCCGGGGTGTGAGGGGTGGACAAGGTGGCTCTCCAAGAGCAGCAGAATCTCTTAAAAGGGACTGAAAGCAGAGGCCGGGTGAAGAGCGGTGGTCATCACTCAGTTTGTTGATTTCTTGCTGTCGTGTCCGGGCTGGCTGGCTGCTTGAAAAATGTCTGATGGCAGCGGGACATCGGGGCTGCGCTTCGTCACCTGGACAGGACCGTGGAGTGGAAGGAGCATCCCCCACGCAGGGCGCACCGAAGGTGGCCCTCGCCTCCACAGAGCGTAAGGCTTCCTGGAACTTTTCCTGCGAGGAGTCACCGTAGAGCAGACACCAGACTGTAGTTTCCGATGAAAAGGGCGACGGCATGAGGAGGGTGGCCTCGGCACCCGGAGGCCGAGTGGGGAGGCCGGGGCCCCAACACCACTGGAGCCTCGCTGGACCACGGCCGCCTCGCGAAGGGACCGGCAGCGCCAGCCCTGCGGGGCCTACGCAGGACACTGCGTGCCACGTTCCTGGCCCCTGCAGGTCGTGGGGGTCGTGGTGGTCATCACCCCGGAAACCCACACTGTGTTCCTGGCCCGTGCACGTGCAGGGGTCATCGTCACAGCGGCCAGCTCTGAGGATTCCCCCACTTTGTCCTCCATGGTGGGGGCAGGCCCCTTCCTGCGTTTCCTTAGCGGGCAGCACGCTGGGCGACTGGGGCTTGTCTGCTGACCCCACTCCACTCTTCCTGGGTCCCTTGTGGAGAAATTCACTTGAAGGTCCGTAAGGGACCTTGGTCAGGTGCCCCCTCGTTCACCTCAGGCAAGTGCCAGTGAGCAAGTGTGCAGGCTCTGGACATGCGCAAAATGTCTCACTTCGGAGAACTGCCGGGCGACGTGCGTGCAGTCGGTCTTGCCCGGTAGACTGTCCCGAGCGCTCAGTGTCCACAGGGAGAACATCGCAGATGCAGCCTGGGTGTGCAGAAGCCCTGGTCCCACAGCCAGAGGGACTGATGCGCTGGGAGCCAGGCAGCCACAGAGCGAGAAGCCGTGGTGGGTCGGCAGGTTTCCATACCAAGGGCACCCCTGCCTTCAGCCACAGCCTCCCCTGTGCCGCCCAGTGGCCGGGCCGGCCCGCATGCCCGTACAGGCGCTTGGTGTGTTTTAGGGCCCCTTGTCCTGGGAGTAAGCACACAGAGTGGTGCCGGCTTGGTCTCCCAGGGCCCTGGCCTTTGGACCCGCGTGGACACTGGGCGAGCTCTGCCAGGCACTGCCCGGCCCTCCTGGGCAGCCGACCTTCGTCCGCCTTGCCGCTCCAGCTGGTTATCCCAGAAATAAACATTTTCAGTGGTTTCCTTCCAAACACATTTCAAGTCATGTTGTGTCTTTCCCCTGTGAGACCCAGCAAGCCCTGCTTGTTCTGTGAGCTGCAGGAAAAGTTTAATGGCATGTGACTGAAAATACACAAGGATGTAAACTGAAGACGACCTTGCCAGAGTCCAGCTAGGAGCATGAATCTTTATTTTCAGAATTAGGTTAGAGCAGATGTGAAATAACAGACCTGAACGGGATCTTTGAAACAGCGGGGCGGGGGAGCCCCTCGGGAGAGCAAGGAGCCCATCAGATTCAAGCATGTATGTATGTATGTATGTATGTATTTGTGATTTTTTTTTTTTAAGGACAAAACAGAAGGTTGCAGATTCAGAGCTAGCTTGCGAACAGGCTCATCAGTACCTTGTTACCAAAGCAAAAACCAGATGGTCAGACTTGTCCAAGGTAAGAAAACGATGGTTCCTCAGAAGGGAAGACTCTCCCTTTCAGTCTTGCAAGCTTGTTGGGCGGCCGAGCTGCTCAGGTCCGGTCCCTGGGGTGGGAAAACAGCGTGGCGGACCTGACCGGGTGACACTCGGAGTCTCAAAATGCTGTTTCAAAACCAGTCCCCGCTGTCAAGGCTGATTGACGTCTAGACAAATACGGACTTGTGGGACCTACGTGACAGAAAGTCCTGGCTTTCCCCCAGGTTTGGTATGAAGTAGCGACTTAGCTGGAAAACGGAAGATGCTGCCACGCTCGCTTTCACGCAGTGCACGCATACATTTTACAAAGCCCTTCTTCCTGAGCTGCGGAGATCCCGGGTGCGCAGTTGGAAGGAGCGCGTGCACCACGCGTGGAGGGTGGGCGTGGTTTTGGGACGGGACGCTGTGTGGCGGCAAGGGCAGCCGGGCACAGCGGGCCAGGCTCTGGGACGTCACCAGGCCCCGGTGCGCCCCGGCCTCTTCACTCTGAAAGGTGTTTTTAAGCTGCCGTCACAGAAGCAGTCGCACGTCGTTTGGAAGGGCGTCTCCACTTGGTGTTGCTGGGTTGTTGTCTTTGTTTGCTCTTCTTGGCCTGCACCCTGTGTGAGGCTCAGTCTTTCCGGTCCTGGTCTCCTGGGCGGCCTCGCCCCGCCCCCTGTCCGCAGGAGAGCCAGCTTGGCCCCACGGAGCTCACAGGCCAGGGAAGGTGACCGGCACCAAGCCACAGCAGGTTATCGACAAAGTGGGGGGCACTGTGGAGAAGAGGAGCAGGCGGCGGGGGGGTCCCCCAAGGGAGGGCTGCGGGCCAGTGGAGGCCTTGGTTTGTGCCTTACCTCCGTCCCTGGGCCTCCTTCCTCCCTGCTCCGCCCCGCCTGCCCTCTCTCAGACGGGCTGGCGGCCTCTCCCTTTATGTGGACCCTCACTCCTCAGAGGAGTCCTCTGCACACACGGCCTCAACAGCCCCCTTGTCCCTGTTCTGCCGAGCCCCAGATGTGCAGAGGAGCGCGGGGAGGGAAGCACTGGGCTGCCAGACCAGCCTCTGTCATCTGCAGGAACCCCCTCCTCGACCCCCGCCTTGTAGAATGGGACCGGTGGGGGTGCGGGGAGGGGAGGAGACGGGGGTGGGTGGCAGAGGAGGGAGGGAAGGAGCCACTTTGTCCAGAACCGAGCACATGCACACTTGTCCCCGCGCTGGGACTGCCACAGGACTAAATGGCCCTGCACGTTTTATTGTTATTATCTTGGACGCCTCTGTCACTCTCTTGACTTATTTTGAGCAAAGCACTGAAGGAGTTAGTTCTGGGTCCTAAGCCCGCAAGGAATAGGATTAGACTGATAAGTAAGATTGGGGTAGTCACGCCAAGCCACCTGGTGATGACGGGGGTGCTGTCGTGAGCGCCCACGCCCTGCTCTGAGCTCCTGGGCGCGGCGTTCACAGATCGCGGGCGAGCAGAGGCTGCAGCGCGTCTCTGCTGCTGCGCTTCGGGGGGCTCACCAAACAGGACCTGCCAGCGTCTGAGAGGCTGTGTTCTCTGGTGACACTGCGCTGGGAACCTGAGGACGACGCGGGTGTTTAGTCATCCCGTCATCCAACGGTCACTGGCCGGCTGCTCTGCCGCGCTCTGCCCGGGGCATCCCCAGCCACATCCCCAGAAGCCAGTGGAGTGGCCTCCCGGGGGATGGTTTACTATGCTCATTTCTGTGTAAGTGTTTGCAGAAAATAAGTTCATTGGCCTCTTCAGCAAACATTGCTACGAGCTAACTGCACTGTTGCAAGGAATTAAGGACACAGTGACAGAGAGATAGGCCGGTCTCTGTCCACAAGGGACTTGGGGTGGCGGCACCAGAGAGCACGCATGACATGGGAAGTAGCTTCTGTCCAAGAGGGACCAAGGAGGAAGGGGCCGCTTAAAAGGTGGCCGGTGTCAGGTGGGTGGGGGGACCGAGCCAAGGCGAGGGCTACGGGCTGCCCGCGCGGACGGGGCTGCAGATAGCCCTGCTCCCGCCCTTTAGAGTGTCCACACGGGGTTGTCTGTCTTCTCGTTGGCCAGTAGGGGCTCGTGCTGGGGTTGGGCTACTCGTCTTTCCTAAGTGACATGCGGCGCGAATGTCTGCCAGTTCTTGTTCTGTCTGCACCCTTTGGATAGGGTATCTTCTGAAATAGAAGTTCTTTTTAATGCAGTCAGATTTGTCAACATTTCCTGGGAGGAGGTCTTATTGAGGAAGTCGTGAAGATATTCTGCAGTCCCTTCTAGGGGCGCAGCATCTCACCCTGCGCGCTCTGGTCCTAAATCCGGCACCGCTGGCCCGTACGCGGGCCCAGGCAGCGGTCTGGTCGGTTCTCCTGCAGGGAGACCTAGCCATCCCGGTGCCTCTCATTGTAGAGTCCGTCTGCCCACCTCAACACCTGCACCCGCGCCCGCACCCGCACCGCACTGCGGCTCCGCCACCCGCCGCACCAACACCGTGGCCGTGTTCTGCTCTGCTGGTCAGCTTGTCTCTCCTGGCACTGGTACCGCATCTTTAGTGTTGCTGTGACTTAGTGACACATCTTAATTAGCTGGTAGGCAGGTCCCTCTTCCTGGCCCTCCAAGAGTGTTTGATTCAGTTAGTCAAGTTCCACGGAGGAAAAAAAAAATGCCTCCTGGGCTATTTGCAGGGAAAGGACATCTTACCATTCGGACTCTTCCGGTTCGTGAGCATAGTGTATTTCTGTGAATGTTGATCTTTTTGTCATAGCTTCCAATAACATTTTAGACTTTTCTGTGTGTAAGACTTGCAAGCATTGATAAGATTTATTCCTAGGACTTTCTATTTTTGATGCTATTTGAAAATGTTATTTTTAAACATTCATTTTCTGTGATACACAAAATGTGGATGATTTTGCCTGTGGATATAGAATCCAGAGTTCTTGCTAAACTCTCTTATTATAACACTGTATTTGTGGAGTTTTGTTTACTGTATAGACAGCCAGCTCACCTATGCATAATGACCAGGGGTTTTTCTTGTCTGGGTGTTGTGCCTTGTCTTCCGCTTTCCTGCTCAACAACATTGATCCCCGCACAGTGACACGCAGAGGGCGGCGGCATGTGCACGTCTTGTTCCAGGTCTCAAAGGGAGGCTTCCGCCCTCACCACTGAGGATGCTCTTGCCGAGGACTTGGTACCTCGGCATACCCACCGCATGGTGCTGTCATGAGAGGGTTACAGGAGCTGTCACTTGGAAACAGTTTAAGACAGCGCCAAGCATCCTGAGCGTGTTACCTGCTCCCCTCGTCTGCGGTCCTCTTCGACGCCTTTTGCACCCCTCGGGGACATTAGAATGGCCCCATATTATCTTGCCATGACAGCCAGACCCTCAGGTCCCTCCCTCCCCATCTCACAGCCAGAGGCCGCGTCCACATCAGCACCGAGATGGTTACCCCCAGGTTTGGGGTGGGGGCAGAGGCTCTATTTCTCATGGTGTTGGCCCCACATTGTCAGTCAGAAGCTCCCCAGCTACACACCCAAGACCCCACAGCACCCAGAAACGAGCCCCACCCAGTGCAGAGGACCCTCTGGGTTTGCCCTGTCACTTTCTGTAGAGAAGTGACGAGGTGTCTGGAGCTCAGACAACAAGGTCATTAAGCAAGTAGGTGGGGCGGGGGGAGTGGGTCAGACAGCCTCAGAGAGCAACAAGTGAAAATCTCTGTCCTGCCGTGGACACGTTCTACATGTTACTGAATGCCACCTCCAACTGCCGCAGAATTTTATAGAAACTGACCGTGAGGGTGCCGGCATTGTCCGCCGACGGGACATAAAGAATGCGCTGTACAGCTTTGACATTCCCCTCACACCGCGGGAATTTGAAAAGCTCTGGATGCGGTAAGTGATGTCTGCAGACTGGTCCCTTTCCTTTCCCACGGGGTAAGCCGTTCAGCAGCAGCTATTCCTCTCCACCGGGGGTACAGTGGGGGCCGGGGCGCTTCTCTCTCGGCATGTCTGTCCTGTGCCCTGGGCCTTTGCTCCTGTCCCCCATGGGAGGCACCCCGGGGAGCAGGCTAGTCTCCGGAACAAGGAGGCCAGGGGGAGCGGTGCCTGCCCCGAGGCTGTGGACGGCTCGCCGCCAATGAGCCGGGCGTCTGGGCCAGGCCAGGCTGCTCCTGCTTGCGAGAACGAGTCACTCCCAGAAGGCTTCACGCTCATACGGCCCCGCAGAACAGACTGTCTCTCCCCGTTGCCTAAAGATGGAAACCAATGTCGGACAACGGTTTTATAGATAAGTAATTTGGTGGAAGAAAATAAGCAAACTTCTGACAACTTGGAGTAGCTTCCCGAGGGTCTCTTAAACTGAAAGTAATATCTAACATTGGTTACATTTTTGAAAATGTGTTTTAGACGTGGCTACTTTGAGCCTGGCCCCACTGCGGTATTCCCTGGGTAGGTGTCCGTTTACAAGTTCCAGTTCCCTCTCCAAATTCCCTCTTTCCCTGTCACGCGTCGGTGGCTGCTCGCGTCCCCGGCAGCAGGCACGACACTGCACGTCCTCTCAGGGGTGAGCTTGTGATGCGGCCCCTGGAATTTTTCAGCTTTTCATCTTTTCAAAGTGCAAGGCTGCAGTGTGGGCCAAGTTGAGAATTAGGTGGGCCGTTTTGCGTCTGATTTAGTTTAGAAGAGAAATTGGGAATCCCTACAAAGTCCTTTTTTTCCTGACCGGTCCAACACAGGGCCAGCGTAGGCCCCTGCCTGTTTCCTCTCCGGTAGATGAGAAGCGCGGGTCCGCCCGCGTAGGCAGAGGACGGGGATCCAGCGGGCGGACATACGGGCCTCCCCCCATGGGGACCCTCCGGATGATGCAGAGATGACTGGGTGGTCCCAGTGCTCAGGAGGCTGCACCCACCAAATCCTGGGGCGCAGCATCAACCATGACACACGCCAGAGGAGGGAACAGGCCAGCGGAACAGGCAGGGCAAGAGCAGGAGTGCTGAGCGCCCGGCTGGCCGGGCGGGAGGCTGTGGGGCGATGCCCAATGGCTCCGGGCGGCCCAGGGGAGGAGGGCCGGCGAGGCTCGCAGGGAGAGGGGGGAGGGCCTGGCCTGCGAGCGGCTGCGGAGGCCCTGGTGTCGGGTGTGGCTGACCCGGCCTCCAGGAGCGGGGAGGTCTGCGGGGCAGTGGCTGCTGCCACGTGTGGGCGCAGGTGTCTGTGGGTCCCGGTTTATGAGCGCGTTTCCTGGCATGAAAGTGCAACCTTTCTAGGCAAGTTGATTTTTTAAAAATGTCACAGGAAGGAGTGTATAAGGAAGGATGGGGATGTGTAACCTTTGTCATCTCTTGTATCGCTCATATTCAGAGCGACATTTTAGTGACGGTCATGCGGCCTGGCCCTCCTTTGCCATGAGAACAGGATGTTTACGATCTTCATTAATGATCACGATGTTTATGATCTTTATAAAGAAGTGTCTTTGCATTCAGTTCACGGCCACGACTGAGAGCGTGGCGCTGGCGATCTAGCGAGCGTGACGCGCCAGGAGGCAGTCCCTCCTCAGGAGCCCGTTTCAGTCGTGGCCGTGAGCCCAGCAGACGTGAGGTGACGGCGAGGCCTCACGAGGGCGCTGCTGGGCGCTGCGCGTTCATGCAGACGGACGAGGCACGTTTCTCTTCCAGACACTTGCCCTCCGTCAGCGAGAGAAGGCGAGGACCCGAGGGGGCGGCAGAGGCAGGGCCCTCCCCCACGCTCTCGGGCGGCGGAGAGCGGCAGCGGGCGCTGGCACGCACCCACCGTGCGCCAGGCCATGCTCCGGCCCCCGGCACCTCCCCAACTAGACCCCCCCACTGCCCCGCGCCCTAGACGAATCCAGGGGGAGGGGGCAACGCAGCACTTTGGACTGAGGAGGAGAGAGAGGTTCCGAAAGCGGCTGTCTGTTGGGGGGTGTCTATGTGCCGTTCTTTCAGGAACCCTCCTGTGGGAATGGGGAGCCCTTGGGGGGCTTCATTAAGGGGGTGTCTTGAGCAGAGCAGCAGGGCTCCATCGCTGTGGTGGCAGAAGGCGAGGCACAGGCCTGACGCGGTTCAGAGAAAGACACAGCCTGGGCTCACGTAGAAGTTCAAGAAATGGCGGCCCGTCCCCTGTGGATGGTTGGCAGAAAGCTGGCCCCCTTCCCGCGGCTCTCGCCGGCCCGCTGCCGCTGGGAGTGGGGTGTCAGGCGTGTGCTGCAGCTGCCAGGCAGGCCCCAAGACTCAGAGACCCCGCCACCTCCTGCGTGGGGGTGTCACTTTGTTCCGTGTTAGAGACAAATCCAGTGAACAAAGGTAGAAAGGCAACGCTGAGGTCATCCTACTACCAGTCACCTGGAAAGGCTGTTGAGGGAGGGTTCATGAGTAACAGTTGCAACTGCGCTGAGACGTCAGATCCAGGAACCCCTTTGGGGGTTGCAGTGGGGAAACAGCCCCGGAGTGGACAGGGGCTGGCCGCTCTCGAGGCCAGTGAGTGAGCAGGTGTGTGGCTCCAGGGTCTCCTCTGCTGACTCCGCTGCCAGCGGGGCGCCCCTGCCCTTCTCAGGGGGACCCCGTGGTGGGGCAGGCCTACGTGCTGATCGGCGGCGGAGCCCTGCGGCAGCAGGAGGGGCCCTGTGGCCCCGGGGGAGCCCACCTGGCCTTGGGGCAGAGGGGACCGGTGCGCCCCCTGGGATGCTCTGCAGATTTTAGCCCAAGTGCAGGAAGCATTTGTCCCATCTTCTTACCACTCTGCCTCCCCCACCTGTCCCCCGCCCCAAGGACAAGAAAGCCAGTTGGGCGGGTGAACACACTCCCTTCATTGTTACTCAAGTAAGACTAAGGCAGAGGGCTCCATGCGTCCCAGGGCCGTGGGTGCTGCGGGTCCTTCGGCCTCTGCTCAGTTAGCAGCAGAGGGACACGCCACGTCGCAAAGGACAGCCGCCCGCACCCCGCACAGCCAGATGCTGTCCCGTCCGCAGCCTGCCAGAGAGCCCTGCCCGCAACATCGCTTCAAGACAGCCCTGGTCCTTGTGACTCTCAAGCAGCCGGGAAAAAGCGCAGCCACAGGCGCGATTTCTATCCATTAGATGAGAACCAAGATCTTGCTGTTGAAATAAACGCTTTTTTTCTTTAAAGAAAATTGGCGATTTGCCTTCAAAATTTTTATTGAAGTAATTCTATTCTATTTGAATAATGTTGGGAGATAAAAACCCTCCATTACGCCTTTTTAAATGAATTATAATTCAGAAAAACTTCGCTAATAGAAAATGACATGAAAGGTACATAGCAGAATTCCTATCTTGTTTTCCTCTCTCGCTGGTTGCATGTAATTGGCATCTCATCAGAGAAAATGGGGCATTTGAATCAAGCAGCATTCACTTATCCAGTTTTAAGATTGAATGTGCTTTTTGAAGGATTTTCTCCTAAGCCTTAGCGTAGTTCCGCTACGTGTAGGTGCTCAATAAAAATCTACAGAATGAATGAAAAGGTTGATTTTAATTTTCTGTGGCCACAACTGTGTTTCCATCAGGATGGCAGGTGAACACATTCAGCTGCTGCTGTCTCTTGGGGAGGGACGAGGCCGCCTCGTGTGCGGGGAGCCCCCTGTGGATTTGAGCAGTGGGTTGCGAGCTGCCATGCACCTGTGACTTGCCTGGGGGCCTCGCTGAATGCAGACTCAGCTGGGGCCTGGCCCGAGGCCCGAGGTTCTGCGTGCCTGGCTCCCCGCGGTGAGCCGGCCCTGCAGGCCTACGGAGCAGGCTGGGTGGTGGGGAGCTAGGGAGCCCCTCCCAGGCACGGTCAAGCCCTGAGCACCTGAGCAGCGGCTGCTGCTGACAGACGGCTCTGTTCGCTTGTCTTTAAAGCTACGACACTGAGGGAAAAGGCCACCTGACTTACAAGGAGTTCTTGCAGAAGCTGGGGATCCACTACTCAGCGGATGTCCACCAGCCCTACACAGAGGACCACTTCAACTTCATGGGTCACTTCACCAAGCCACAGCAGGAGCCAGCCGAGGTCACGGAGCTGCTGCAGGGCACCGGGAAGGCGGCGCCAGCCAGGTGAGTCGGGGAGCGTCCTGGGACTGGGAGCTGGCCGCCGGGTCCACGCCCACCCTCGGCACAAACGTCGTTTTGAGGTGCGAATTTGAAACTGTAATGGTCGTTCACTGCTGCAGGTTCTAGAAATGGGTGCGAAGTCGCAGGCTTCTAAGGAGCTAGCGGGCTGTGAGCCTGCCCGCCTGGCGGGGGTCACGTTCTCACACTATCCAGCTTTCGTAGGTCGCCCTTGAGGCTTATCCCTTGTAGGTATTTGCTCTGTATTGGCTGTCCCCCACCCCCCCGGGCCCGACTAGAAGGCAGTTCTATAAAGACAGCCCTGTCTTTACCGGGTGCCTGTCACCTCACGGGCACCCGGTGGCTATTTGCTGGACGAATGAACGAACGAGCAGACACGTTCTTTAACTTGGTGCTGCTATTTTGAGGACTCGATGCCGAAGCACTGATGCAGGAGAGGCCTCAGCTGTGGGCTGGCTGTGTGTCCTCTACCAGGGGCCACCTGCCGGTCCCCGTGAGCGCACTGGCCTGGGAAGTGTGGCCCCGAAGAGCACAAAACAGTATACGCCTGTGACAACTACATAAAACATGTGTGACACAAGGCTGATGGGAAATGGCATTTGGAACAGCACATATACTGTGATCGGAACGATGTCAAACATGCGTGCCTGTCCCCGGGGACCAGAGAGTGCTGTGCCAAAGGTCACGTCGGGTTGTACTTGGATGACGGGGCTGTGATGATGATTTTTGAAGTTTAAAACTAGTTCCCAATGCCATAGCTTAAGAGTGTATGACATAGGAGAGAATTCTGCCACAGCGGATGTGGCCGCAATGCCTCGGTCCGTGGTGGCCGCCCGTCAGCACTGCATGGGCCTGGGCTCTGCTCCTGGCTCCACAGCTCCTCATCGCCCTACTGTGTGTCTGTCCCCACCACCTCAAAGAGCCCCTGAACCAGCGAGTGATTTGTTGCTGAAGAGTCCCCAAAGGCAATGAGAACCCCCCAGGATACAGAAGCGAAATGTAACGGCCAAACGGAGGTTAAAGAGAAGCAGATTGAGTGCATCCCTGAACAACGTTGAAGTCACTGAGTCACCCAGAGAATTGAGTTTGTGAAATGTAAAGTAAAAATACGCGCATGCGTAAGATTGCTATAAATCAGACATGCCATCAAACTAATGAAAAGGGGGAATTAATCTTTATCAGACAGGGCTGGCCTCATTACCCACGCGCGTCTCCCCGTCCCTCCCTCCTGCCACGTGTGAGTGATGAGGCTCTGAGAGGACGCGTCCGTGCTCGCCTCGCGCGGCACGTTCTCGCCGCGTTCCTGCCTCCCGTGCGGCGCCGTCAGACGCCCCGGTGCCGGTCACCAAGCTCAGCTGCCTGGTTCACGCTCGCCCCATCCTCTTTGCAAGACCGTCCTCTCTTACTAAGGACCAGCCTCATTTCGTAAAAAGGCACAACCCTTCCGTCTAGACATTGGGTAGTGAAATCGTCTTCCAGATAATCCTTGAAGTCCGGTGTTTCCAGGGTTTTTTCCTTCCTCATTTCTACTGAAACTCAGATGAGATTGATAGTGGGTGTCATGTTCAAGTGGCCAAAATGGTATGTTTGCCTCTCAGACCTCAGGGAATCAATTTTGTTTGGTGTGCCCTAAATACATTTTTTTTTAATTAAGAAAAATTCCCTTTGAAGCTCATTTATTTTCCATGACTTGCTCTTTTTTTGCCTGAGTCTGAGTGGAAGATTCAGAATCAGCGCAGCCACAGGGAACCAGCGCGTAAGTGGGGCCCCGTCCTGCAGCGCAGAGCGAGCGCATAGGCGTGAACGCGGCAGAGCCGTAGGGGCGGCCCGCAGGCTCCAGCAGAGACCGTGTCGGGGGGGAGGGTCTTGGCCACCCCCCAGCCCATGACAGGGGCCTCTTCAGGCTTGTGTGTCACTGTCCAGGCGCGGAGTCAGGCAGGGACCTGGAGCGGCGGCAGCGCGTCCCCGTGTGAGGGCCCACGCCGGGCTGGCTGGCGGCCGGGCGCGCCCTGCACTCTGAGCGGCCGTTTGGCCCGTGCACACGCTTACCCCACGGGGCAGGTGCTGACGGCCGGGGAGCCAGGCCGAGAAGTGCTGAGCGCCCCGTTTGCTAAAGGCGCATATCTCAAAAAATGGCTGGATGTTTTCACACATGCATTTGCTTTCACTTGGAAGGACTGCTTGGAATGTGTGTAATGATTGTGGTCGTGAGTGACCATTTTGTGACCTGGGACTGAATTCAGTGCACGCCTGTAAGGGGGTCCGGATGTCGCTGCTGTCGGTGTGCAGTGATGGACAGACAGTCCGTGCCACTCCTTGTGTCAGAGGTCGGCCAGCTCCACACTGGAGGCCAAAGGGAGGGGACAGGTGGCCCGCGCAGTGCCCCTCCCCGGGCGGTCCCACTCCGCTGCCCGTCTTGCAGATTACCGATTTTCCTGTCCCTGTGAATGATCTTTCCAGGCACACTCAAGGGACTGTACTCTCAGCAAACATGTATCTAAGGTGACGAGCAAGGTGTCACGTTTACAATGTCCAGCATATTCTTTTCAGTGCCGGACGGGCTTGTTGCCTGTTTAGAGACCGGGGTCAGCTGAGGTTATGGCGTTCATAGTTACTCCACCACGTGTCAAAGGCAAGCGTGTTCGTTCTAAAAGGTGTCCACACTTTTTTAGTCCCTTAATAATTTTTTTGGGTCAGGGAAGAATCTCCCTGAAAAACAGAATCACGGCGATTTGAACGCGCTCTAGGAGAAAGCCAGCCCTCCCGGCAGGAGTCTGACAGCGCAGGACTGGTGGGCCCACGGCCCTGCGCCCGCCTCCCTGGGGGCAGGAGGTGGGTAGCGATCATCCCCACAGACGAGGGACAGGACAGTGCCGGGACAACTGTCCTGCGGTGGCTGCCCGCCCACTCCTTCACCTCGCAGCCTTGCTCGTGTGACGCTGCCCCGCACCCCCGCGGTGGCCTCCCTGCGCTCTGCCCACCCCTCCCCTGCCCCTGCAGGGCTCCGGGGCCTCCTGTACTGTGCGCCCCGCCCGCTGGCGTGGAGCTCCCACAGCCGCTGGAGCCACTGGGCATGCCCAACGCGCAGGGCGGTTGCTGCCACGGAACCAGCACTCGGCAAGTCTTCATCGAGAGAGCAGCACAGCCATGATGTCCCTGTTTTTTCGGTCTTAGTCCTATTCTTAAAGTGCCAATTCTAGTAAAAAGACAAGGCTGTTATTCCTCTAACACAGATTTGCTAATGATAATAGTAATAAAATAATAATGATGCAGACTTACAATTTTTTTCTCAGACTACCTTTCAATGTAAATGGAACGCCAAGGCCACAAAACATCTTCAGCATCAGTTCTTAGGGGCATCATCCAATTGCCACAGTAGCAGGATCATGAAACCCTTGCTTTAAAGAAGCAATTTGCCTTCCTGGTGCTGTTGTGGGTCTATCATGTGTTCTCTTGCAGGGATAAGCTGCAGGACCACTATCAAGACATCAGGAAAGCACTGGCCAAGCTCGCGGACCCCAGGAGCGGCTCCGTGTCCACGTGCCAGCTGCGGCAAGCGCTGCAGGACAGCGGCTGTCCCCTCAGGGACGAGGAGCTGGCCGAGCTCCTGGACAGGTTTGCATTCCCTCAGTTGGCTGTGTGTCTCCCGGCCCAAAAAACAAGTGAGCACACATGGCTTTCGTTTGCTCTCCTCTGTCCACTCAGACAGACTCTTCGCATCCGGGACAGCCCCCGCGCCTCCCTTTGGCCAGGCGCGCGGCCGTGGGCAGCGGGCTCCCGAAGCAGGAGGGGAGGGCGGCCTCGGTGCCCTGTGCTTCCTGTGTGTCTCAGCCGCATCACTGTTGTTTTTCAGCTTTGCTTTTTACTTCACCCGAGTTCTTCATACACCTCGGCAGGTGCCAAATAGCTCTGTGATGTTACTGTTTTCATCTCGCCTTCCCTGAGTCAGCAACTTCCCGTGCTTTTAAGTGACACCTTTTGGTACTTAACTTCACGTTTCTACGTGACACGTTCTATAGCTCCGTCTTAAATTCTTACTGTCAGTCTGTGTCTATTGACTTCCAACCAGGAAGTGCGGATTTAGCTCTTTTTCACGCCTCCCGTGCCACCAGCCACCTCGCCCCACAGCCTCCACTGCCACGGAAGCACACGCAAACCTCCCTCCCCGGAGGCAGCTGTTCCCACACGGCCGCGTCTCCATGTGGGGCAGATCAGCAGTCAGGGTTTACGGTGCTGGCACGAGCCGAGCAGTTTTCCTTTTCTGTGTAGCATTTTGTTTTCCTTGGAGTGAATAATATTAATCTGACCTTTTCTGTTTGTTTAGTTCCCCTGTCATTATCGGTGATGGAACCCCTACCTCGCCCCCTGGTGAAAATACCTTCCTTTTCGTGGTCGCTGTAAAGTTTGCGATGCACACAGACAAGGATCTACTTCCTGGGCAGCTCAGGCGCCTCAGACGGAGCGCCCCGCGTCCTTCCTCCCGTCGTTGAGGACACTGCTGCCGCTCACCTCACTCACCCACAAGCTGCAATCACCCAGAACAGTGCTATCGTTGCTTTGAACAAGTAACTGTTAGATCAGCTGAGGGTTGGGAAAGGGAAGGATGTCATCTAGCCGTCATTTACTCCTTCTCCGATGCTCTTCCTTCGTGTGGGTCTGAGTTTCTGACCTATCTGACCTTTCTTCTCTCTGAAGAATGCCTGTTAGCATTTCCTTTTGCGGGGGCAGGTGTGGGGGATAGAGAGGGAGGGGGAGAGAGATTAACTTGTTGTTCCACTTATTGATGCACTCATTGGTTGCTTCATGCGTGTGCTCTGACCAGGGATCAAACCTGCAACCCTGGCATATTGGGACGATGCTGTAACCTTCAGCTACCTGGCCAGGGCCTATTAGCATTTGTTGAAGGCCAGGGCAGCTGGTGAAGAATTCCTGCAGGTGTTGCTTTTCTAAGGTAGTCTTTATTTCTTCTTCAGTTCAAAGGATAATTTCACTGGATGTAGAATTCTAGGTTGGTGATTTTTTTTCTTCCAACACTAAATATTTCAGTCTTCTCTCTCTCTCTCTCTCTCTTTTTTTTTTTTTTTTTTTTTTTTGCATGACTTCTGAAGGGAAGTGTCATGTAATTCTTATCTTTGTTCCTCTGCAGATAAGGTTTTCCCTCCCTCTGGCTTCTTTCAAGGTTTTCTCTTTGTTTTCAATTCTTTACAGTTGAAATATGATATGCCTAGGTGTAGGCTTTTTAGTGTTCATCCTGCTCGGTATTCTCTCAACTTCCTGGATGTGTGCTTTGTGACTGTCATTAATTTGGGAAAATTCTTGGCCATTATTACGTCAAATGTCCTTTCTGCTTCTTTCCCTCTTTTTTTTCTCCCTGTGGTATTCTAATTATGTGGATGTTACACTTTCTGAAATTGTCCCAGTTTTTGGAAATTCTGGGGGGTTTTTTGTTTTTGTTTTTGTTTTTTGTTTTACTTGTTTTTCTCTTTGAAATCAGTTTGGGAGGCTTTTTTGACACACTTTAAACTCAGTGATTTTCCCCCCCCTTAACCATGTCCCCGCTACCGATGAGCCCATCCAGGCATTCTTCACTTCTGTTATGGTGCTTTCATTTCCAGCACTTCCTTTTGATGCGTTCTGTGAGCTTACACCTTGCTGCTTACATTATGCACGTGTTCTTGCATGCCTTCTACATTTTCCATTAGAGCCCTTTACCTATTAACTGTAGTTAATTTAAATTCGCTGTCTGATGATTTTGAAATTTGTGTCACGTGTGAACCTGGTCCTCCCACGTTTAGTGTGAGGTTTTACATTAATTTGGGTAGAAGGTGGACTGTGTTTAATGTTACTGTAGCTGCCCGTTCCCTCCAGTGCCCATCTTGGTTTTGTCCCTCCTGTTTTGGGGGGTTCCCCTGGGAACTCATCTGTAATCAGAGCCTATGTTCCACGGCTCTTTTCATTGTAACCCACTATTATTAAGTTTGCTTCATGTTTATACTACGATTTTATTGATAGGTTGGTTGTTTCCTGGAGTTTTTAATTTCCTTTTTGTTTTTCTTGCATTATTTGCCTGTATTTTACCTTGTCAGATAAAGACAAACCCAAACTTAGTAAAGAGAGACGTTATTTGAAGAGACCGTCGCCATGTGGGGGAGGACCGCTGCAGCGGGGGAGGGGCCGCTAGTGCAGTAGGGAGGGCCTCCGACCGTGAAATCAGACAGCATCTCAGAGTTTAGGCAGCAAAAGGCTTTGTAGGGAGAACAGAGAAAGAACTGGGTGTGGGGGAATGAAAGGAGCAGGCCGTGCGATTGGCCGGCGCGGCGGGGATTGCCTTGCCTCGGGCTCGGAGCCTCACACCGGGCCCTGCGGAGGTGCTCGTCCATAGCCCGGTGCTGGCTCAGGCCGAGGGCGGGTCACCACCTGGGAAGCGGAGACTTGCTGTTGAAGTTTGGTCAACTCAGGTCCAAGTTAGCCAGCACTTTGTCCAGGTCGGTCAGCGACTACAAACAGTTCAGCTAACCATTGACGAGAACAGGCATTAGGAGGTGGGTGCCCACCTGGTCACAGGCAAACCTGTGAGCCTTTTCTAAGGCCTGGGGGAACGGCGGTTCTGTGCTGTAAGCCTTTTCCAAGGACACAAAGGGAGGGTGATTTCTCTAAACGCCACTGGTTTCCAGGGGCCCAGGGCACAGGTACAGTTCAGCGTTATCAGCCTTCAGCTTTCCCCAGCATCTTGTCCCACTTCCTGCTCCCTTGGGTCCCTTCCCTGGGGCCCTCCGTCCTAGAGCCTGGCCCCGTTCTCCTGTCCCGGCTCTGCTGCCCAAGAGCATCCTTGGCTGCCCCACCGTTCCCCGGGGTTGGATTCCCCCATTCCCACCCTTTCATGCCTTTTTATTTAATTTACATTCTTATTTTGCTGGAGTACTTCCTGGAGTAATTTCCTAAGAGCGGACAGGAAGTAAATTTTCTGAGTTTTTGTTTGTCTGAAAATGTTTTCTCTTTCACAGTGATTCATAGCTTATCTGAGCATAGAATCCCAGGGAGAAAGTAATTTTCCCTTAAAATCTTGAAGGCATTTCTCTGTTGTGTTCCAGCAGTGAGAAGTCCCATGCTAGTGTGTGTGTGTGTATGAGGACGTGCGTGTTCCCATTTTGCCTTCCAGTGCCTGTGTGTTCTCTTCTTCCTTAAATAGGGCCTCCTCTCAGTAAGTCTATTTCCAGCTGAACAAGAACTCATATGCATTCGATGAATAAATCATGGAAGAATAGCATGAGATAAATAATTAACTAAATGATTATAAGGCAGTCTTCTATCACAGAGCCAGTCTTCGTACTTTTATAAACCACAACAAAAGGACTGTGGGATCGCTGCGGTCCACCTTCCAGTGGGGGCGACCAACTTCCTTACGCACTGAAACCTCCGTAAGGATCCATCGCTCCGTCGCTTGTTTCTTCTCAAAGACCCCTTGATGATAAACATCTCTGTCGTTTGTAATTACATGTAGATTATTCTTTTCTAGATCCAAAATAGACTTTTCTAAATAACGCTGAGGAGATTAGCATATGCATTGGATTTTATTACTAAATTTTAATACCAAGTTGGCAGTTTATCCTGCTGATGAAATGGAGCTGATTATCCCTCGCTCCACGTCCCGTCCCAGAGCCAGCGCCGCGGGCCAGGGAGGCCGCCCGCAGCTGCGGGCGGCGCAGCGCAGCCCTGGGCGCAGTCTTCAGGGGCAGATCTGAGCACTTGTCTCGGGCTCGCCCGGCCCTGGCTGTCCTCCTCCGACGCCCCGTCCTGCTGACGGGGTTGGGACGAGCGTGCGGCGGGTGCCCAGAGAACCCAGGTCACAGAACCGTGAGCGCCGAATGCCATTGCCCTTCATGTGGAATTATTTTACGTCTTTCATAAACTTGCTTTATGTTCTCATGAAACCTTTGGACTTTCACGATACGTGTTTTAGGATTTAAAGGGGCCCCTGTTTCTACGTGGATGTCCTGTTGACATACGTGCTTCTCAGACAGAATTTTTATTTGAGAAAATTCTAAGCTACACAGGTTTTGTAAAAATGTCTTTCCCGTGCTTTCAGCTTGACGACTTAGTGTCGACCATTCTTGAACAAGAATGATGGTGCGTTTTACTCAGCTCCTCCCTCCCTTTTTGCCGTCTGGGACGCCTTTCTCTTCTTCCCACGGTCCCCTGCCGCCTCTCAGGGCAGGCCCTCATCAGCCCGGGTCTCCGCGAGCCCAGTCCCGCCCCAGGCCACCCCATGGTATTGCTCTGCGGGTGCCACATCCCTGCCGCGTCAAGTCCCTGCTGCAGTGCCCTCTTTGGACCCCACCACAGACCAGCTCCTTCGCCAGGCCTCTTCCTTCCTTCTCTTTCCTCCGCCCCGGGAGCCCCTGGGTTGTCCAGCCTCTGGTCTCAGCTTCAGCCGGGAGCCTGCGGCTTCATCAGCCGGCCGCACCCCGCGCGCTCACCCCCATGAGCCGAGCCTCGCCCCCTGCGCCGCAGCCGCTGCCGCCCCGCTGCCCTGGCTGACTGGCTTGCAGGCGCCCGTGGGCCGGGGAGCAGTGCCCTCCCTGGGGTCTCACTCTCCTCGCCGCTCTGCACTCAGCAAGTGTTTGTTGAATGAATGGGTGATGGGGCTATTTAAATTAATATATTTCTTTTTTTTCCCCCCCTTTGGGGACAAGTTGGGGAATCAGCTGGCAAAATAACTCCATCAATTACCTTGACTTCTTGAGAGCAGTGGAGAACAGCAAGCCACCAAGGCCTGAGCCGAAACAGACAGACTCGGGCGTGCCAATCAACTTCGCGAAGCTACACCCTGAGGAGGTTCTGAGGAACATCCAGAAAGTTGTCACCTCCTCCAGCCAGGCTCTGTCCACGGTATAGCAGACGACAAAGTGCATCTCCCGGGGAACCTGAGGTTCTGGTGCTCGTGTCCACCCTTGAAAGGGGACTGTTGGCCCTCCTCCTCCCCTTCCCCTTCCCCTTCTCCCTCCCCTCCCCTTCCCCTTCCCCCTCCCCTTTCCCCTCCCCCTCCCCGTGCTCCCCTTGGGGGGTCCGAACTTAGAGGAGTTGCTCCAGATCACATTGTTCTTTTGAGCGAATGTGTATCCATTTTGCTTTGTAAGAAGCTCCCATGGCTGCCCCCAGCATGTGTTCTCTGAGGCGAGAGCGCTGTGTTTTTAGCCAACACTGGGTCTGGGGTGAGGGCGAGGAGCTCCAGGCAAAGAGGCCAGAAGATGGGGCCCTCGGGCAGGAACAGGCGCAGCACGTCCGCGAGCCCTGGGCCCACGGAGCCGAGTGACGCCGGGCGGCTTGAAGAGGTTGATTGGGTTGGGGCTGCGGCACAGAGACTCCCTGGGAGGATGGCCCAGGGCCAGGGGCAGGTGTAAGGAGGGTCACCCCCAAGCGCACAGACATTTTAGGCTGACATCTGGGTGACACTGTAGAGCGTTCCAAGGCCTGGAATGTGCAGGGACGATGCTAGGGCCGCGTCAGAGTCCTTGGGAAACGGGGCCTCGGCCATGTTCCTGGTGAGGGCGCGTGAGTTTCCCTTGGCAGCAGCCGCAGCAAGAGAAAGCGCTGCCTGCAGAGGGCTGGCTGCGCAGCGGGCAGGCACACGGGCCGTCCTGCGTCTGCAGGGGCCAGCCCACCCCCACCCTGAAGCGCAGGCGCGCTTGCCCCGTCCCGGGGTTGGGGGGACGGCAGTCTCCCAGTGCCGGGAGGCGAAGCCCTGGACCCCAGCCTTGGGAGGGACAAGCAGGCTGGAGCCAGCGAGGGGTGGGGCAGCCCAGCCAGTTCTGCATCTTTATCTACTGATGATCTAAAGGGAAATCAGATGGAACTTGCCGCGGGTCGTCTAGAAGACCCACCTATCCAACTTTCAGTACCGGTGCGCCTGCTCGAGACCGCCAGCCCCAGGGTCTGCCAGCTCAGTGGGCGTGGGGGCTGGAACGAAACACGGGGGGACCGGGGCCAGAGTCAGCGTGTGCGGGGCCGGCCGGCCGGGCCGGAGACACAGCACTGCGGGCCGACCGCTGCCGAGTCTTCTCCTTTTTCACGAGGAGCTGTGAAGCTTCCTGATTCCTAGGTGTCAGCCCATTTCCCAGACCTCTCAGGAGCACGCGGGCCGAACAGACCATCCTCAGGGTGGCTCGGCCCCTCCTCCCCCCGGGGCCCCACAGAGGCGGGCAGGACGTTTCTGGCCTGAGGCCCACAGAGCCCTGGGGAGGGGCCGTGGCTCCTCCTTCTGAGAAACACTCCCTGGGCAGTGAGGTTTGAAGCCAGACGGGGATCCCGGGCTGAGAGCGGCAGGGGGGCTGCCAGGACGAGAGGGAGTGGAGGTGTCGCACGTGCACTCTGGCTGCCCACACGCATCTCTGCGTGTCCCCGCAGACTCGTCTCAAATGCACTTTGGTTCTGAAAGGATGTGACAATCCCTTGTCTGCGCTTGATTCTTGCGCCACCCTAGGGCTGGGCAGGCTGGGTTGGCACGGGGTGGGGGGAGCCCCGCAGGCCAAGCAAGCGCAGGCCCCTAAGAGGTTTACCTCTGAGGGCCCCCGAGCTGGGGACGCTCACTTCACAGCCGGCAGGGCCTTCTGTCACCCTCAGAGCAGGGCATGCTCCGCTGGGTGCCCTCAGCTCACGATCCTTCTCCTTCGCAGCAGCTGTGACCCTCCTCGTGCCAGGTCCCTGGACAGAAGCTGTTCAGGCCGCCATAGTAAAGCTTAGAGCAGCATGAGCTCCAAAGCCCCTCTTTTTATGTCGAAGAAGCTAAGCGAGGGGCCAGGGCCTGTGGTGAGCCACAGAGCCAAGGTTCCAGGGCTGCTTCCCAACAGCAGCCCGAGGTTTTAACGATGCACAGCTGCCGCGTATCACCACAGCCTAAATACAGGTGTGGAGCTCTGGAGCCTTTTAAGGTTAATTCGAGAACACCTGTATGACCACCTGTGGGCTGGCGGGGCGCGCCTAATTAGCTCTGCACGAGAATTTGCTGCTAGGGCTCTGGTATGGGGTCTGCAAGCACATTAAATTCTTACTTTTAAAAAAAGATCTTAACCTAACACTTGATATAGATTTCCTGGTGCAATAAAAATGAATGATTTTGTTTCAGCAGATGGAAAAAAAATGGGCTCTCTTTTTATAGCACACTTTTGCACTTTTTCAGTTTGACTGCTGTGCTGCTGGGTTGGCGCCGTCTGCCCAGCCAACCCCTCCCCCCTCTCTGGCACAGGCCCCCCGGAGGTGGGGGTCCTCCCTCAAGGCACGGGCCCGTGGGCTCCGGCTGCCCGTGGGGAAAGGACCGGAGCCTCAGCGCACGGGCCTCGGCCTGAGGTGCCAGGGCGTGGGTGGTCCCTTGACTCCTCCTCCTGGCCACTCCCCACGGCAGTCCTCCCTGGAGACCCCGCCCCAGCCCCGACACAGTGGGATTGCACCCGAGCCTCCTGTTCGGGTGATTTATGATCAAAGGAGCCGGAATGTAATGATCAAGGGACCTTGGGCAAGATGCTGGGGGCCTGCATCCCTCTTCACTCCCCTCCCAGTTCGGCTCCGAAGGGGAGTGAATGACGCTCGTTCCCCCACGACACGCAGTTCTCGCATTGCACACGCACTCACGCGTCTCGGCCTCTCAAGCACTGTGCATTTATGCGGTGATTTAGAATTCACGGGGGACTTGTATGCACTTGATTTCATTTGCATTCTGCAGAAGCAATACTTAAGAAAAATGCTCTTTGAAATACTCGCTTGACAGTAGCCTCTGCCTTCTTTTTTGTAGGCATTTTCTGCCTTGGACAAAGAGGACACTGGGTTTGTAAAGGCTTCGGATTTTGGACAAGTTCTTAAGGATTTCTGTTACAAACTAACAGATAACCAGTACCATTATTTCCTGAGAAAACTAAGAATTCATCTAACCCCCCATATAAATTGGAAGTATTTTCTCCAGAGCTTCGCCGGTTTTCTTGAAGAGGTAAGGATGCGTGCAGCACATAACGCCTCTCTTTTTGAAAAAGGGCTAACATTCGTTTTTGAGAAATGGAGAATTGATTAAAACCATGTCAGATAAATTGACAATCACCCCATGTAATTAGCTCATTCTAAATGGTAAATTGGTATAAATTCTACATAGAGTATGAGAAGGTAAATGTGTATCTTTTGCTTCATTTGAAAGTTATTTTATTTTCAAAGAAGTTTGGGAGCTCACTTTGGTCTGGTTGTTTTGGATGCTCAGGATCTCAGGTTCTGAAGATGATCTGGTGTCCAGAGAAGCGAGGCCCCCGGTGTGTTAGGCCTTGAGTGGCAGGGGAGGAACCTGGACCACCTCGGGAGGCATTTGTTGAGGACCCATGATGTGCCGGCCCCAGGGCCAGGTGTCAGCCACCATGGGTAGGAATGTGGAGACAGTGGGCTTAAACAGCTGTAGACTCAGCAGGTTCCCGGGGTAGTCAGGGAGGGCTTCCTGGAGGAGGGAGGGCGGCTGACACAGGGCTCTGTTCCTGCCCAGGACCGCTTCTCCGGCTGCACAAGCTGTATATTCTTTGGTTGTTTCTTGATTTCTAAACATAAATGGGCCAACATCATTAGAAATCATTACTATCGAGGTTTAACCAGCATATTTTTTTGATCACCATTCTGTGTGGAGTATGGACACACAGGTGCCACATCCCTGCCCTCACGGCGGCGGGGCGGGGGGGTAGGTAGGGGATGGGAGTAGAGAAAGCACACGTGAAACATTCAAAAATAATACAGCCACTAAATTGCAAAAGTCTTTCCCTAGATGTGTTTAACTGTCCCTCCGGAACTGGACGCTTAGGTCATTCCAGTTGCATGTTTTTATGTCCAGCGGACACCTGCGTGCATAGATCCTTGCTCACGTACCCGGGATAAGCCCCTGGAAGTGAGACTGCCGGAGCAGACAGCACGGAGGCTTTTAGGGACGGGGGGTGGTTACAATAACGACCTTACAATGGCAGGCCCTGCGTAGGGCTTCCCGAGGGCCGGGCACGGCTCTCGGCCTTGATGTGTGTTACCTCGTGCAGTCCTTTCGCGATCACTACGAGTGCGTGCTGGTAACATCCCGATTTATAGATGAGGACACTGGGGCACAGAGACGTCAGGTAACCTGTCCGCAGCCACCCCGATGGAGAGCGGGAGAGCTGCTCTGGGAACCCAGGAAGCCTGGCCCCAGCTCCAGGCTTAAACGCTGTGCCCTCGCCCCTGGGGCAGTGGTTTCTTTTCCCCTTTGCCATTGAGGTGGGGATTCCTAAGCAACCTGTACTGCGGTGCTTCATGGTTTAAAACTTCATCTATGTAAATGGTTTTATATTGAACTTTGTCTTCTGCGCTAATTTCTCCTTGCTTAATAGCATGTGTTTTAGACGTATCCACGCTATTGCGCTGGCTTTAGTTTGTCCCCCTAAGCTGATAAAAGGTCTATAGAACAAGTGAGTTCCATGGAACAAACATGGTGCTGTTCGGTTCCCCTTTCCGTGAAGAAACGTGCGGGTTGTTCGCAGTTTCCTCCGTTATAAGTACAGCACAGGCGGCTGTCCCCTGCACACACGTGGGGCTACCCGGCGTGGACGTGCAGGATGGGCAGGCAGGCGCGGCCCACTTCCCAGATGCTGCCTTGGGGGAGCATCAGTCACATGCACACCAGCCGGACTCGCGTGGGACTCGCTGACACCCCGCATCCCTGCTGACCCTCTGTCCGATCGGGCCTTTTCATTTCGGCCAGTCCCAAGAGCAGTGAGGCCAAACTCCCTGGCACGTCATCAGCCACTCAGGCGGCGGTGTCTGTGAATTACCTGACGGGATCCCAGTCCTTTGCTGAGACATGAGTTGCAGAGACCTCCCAGCCCCTGACTTGTCTTTTCTCTCCATTTATGATGACTCTCACTGTCTTTATGTGAATTATACTTTATTCTGATTTTAAAAGACAGAGTCACTGAGGAAATTGCAAAATACGGGAAAGGGGAAAAGAGAACACACCCATCTAAACCAGAACGACCACCACTGCCGTTTTGTGAGAGGCCCGACCTCTGGCCCTTCCCAACCACGTTCTCACCCAGGTGTCCCTACTGAGGAGGGGACAGTGCCCACTTCACAGTGAAGCGGACAGGCTCCAAAGTCAGGTACCGGCCCGGCCACTCGGCCGGGGGTAGGCACCGGGCAGGTCCAGCTTCGGAGCGAAGTGCTTCCTGCAGCCACGCCGCCCGGAGACCTTTTCCTTACGTCTTTAATGCATCTTCCTCATTTTTTTATTGTGGTGAAATACATATGACATCGATCGTACCATCCTAGCCACGTCTAAGTGCACAGCTCGGGCGCCTGGCCACCCACGAATGTAGGGCATCTGTCACTGCCACCCCCTCCAGGACGTTTCATCTCGTGAACCCCAAGCCCTGCCCATCACACGGGACGCCCCGTTGTCCTCCCCCGCCTCTGGCACCCGGGCCCCTCCTGGAAGTGCAGTCACGCAGTACTGTCCTTCCGTGCCCGGCCGGCCGAGTTCGCTGAGCGTGGCGTCCTCAGCTCCGTGCTGCAGCAGGGGTCAGGGCGCCCTTCCTTGCTAAGGCCGATGGCCGACCGCGTGTGCACAGACTGCGTGTTGCTTCCCTGCTCACCCCCTGGGCGGCGCCGGGTGGCTTCCGTGCTGCGGGCCTCTGCCCGTGCACCTCCAGAAGCACCTTGCTGCACCTTCCTGCCTGGAAGTTTCGGGGCTCACGGCAACAGGAGTGAGCATGGTGGGCTGGAGGGGGTGGGGCCGGGGCCAGGGACACGGGTGGCTCCCCACACGGCCTCCGCCCACCTCCCCGGGCCTGCGTGCGGTCGGTGGGCTTACGAGGTGCCAGCCCTGGAGCTGGCATTGGCCTGGGGGAGGGAGGCCTTGCTGAGAGGCCAGGGCTCAGACCAGGGTGCGTTTCCCAGGGGGACACAGTGTGTGAGGGGCTTCTGGGCTGAAACGGTGGCCTGAAGGGGCAGGTGCAAGGCCTCAGGTGTTTCAGAATCCGTGGGGGTCCGGTCATCCTACGTATGTGCTGGGGGGGGCGGGTAGTGGAGGGTGGCAGGGCAGATGGCTGGGGTCCTGCGTCCCTTACTCCAGAGCTCAGGTCCCCTTCCTCCGAGCAAGAGGGGCGGGTTGAGACTCGTGAGCAGGGATGTGGGGCGGCTTCCGCCCAGGCGGCTGGAGGGGTAGGGATGCCGGGTTGCCCTGACAGTTTCTGAGGTTTCACCCTGAGCTGGTGTTTTTCAGAGAAGGGGGAGAAGTAGCGACTAAGAGGAAAAGCAAATGCATCATCCTCACGCTCATTAAATGTGACACCCGTCGTCCTTTCCCTCTGGGGACGTGTGGGCGGCAAGTAATTAAAAGGAGATCACCACAATGTAATTAAGACGGTGGGCGCCTTTCCTCGCAAAGGCTGTCCCCTGAGTAATCCCTGGCCAAGCGAGATCCACTCCTTGGGGAGGCGAAGTCCCCCGAGAGTACAGGCGGGCCCCTACGCACACCCATGATGTGCTGGTCCCGTTGGGCACGCCGCTCGGCCTGTGCTCAGCAGCCTCAGCCGACTGCATGCCGCATGTGCCTGTCACACGTGAGACCTGAGCTCTGTGCAGGAGAGACGGGGCGCGGGTCCCGGTGCAGCACATGGCTCTGCTGTGATGTTGTCCCCGCTGGCTCCTCTGCTTCCTGAAGCGCCGCTGAGTTCCGACAGCGTTTCTCCGGGTGGGGTCCCGGGCCTCCAGCCAGGCTCAATCTGCAGGGCTGCGTCAGTCTGGACGCCACTCTCGGATGTGAGGACCCTGCCAGTCGGCCCACGGCCTGCAGGCTGACCAAAGATGAAGGCTACTTCAGTCTCTTTGGGGGGAGTGAGGAAGATGCCTCACACCCCTGGCAGCCGTCACGCCCGGGTATGGAGACTGAAGCGCCATGCCACGGCGTGGCGGGAAAGCGAAAGAGAAGAAAAAGGTGCATGCAGTGGACAACAGCGCAGCTCCCTTTATCCTAAGGTGTCCACAGATGGGGTGAGCATGGGGCCAGAACTTCCATCCTCAGCAAATACCTGCTCGTTACTTCCGGGAAAAATATTTGACCTTCAAAATGCTATGTGCAAATACAGAGCATCACCTTGTCTTTAGAAACTCACTGTGTTTAACATTTTTTTTTTTTAAGATTTTACTTATTTATTTTTAGAGAAGGAAAGGGAAGGAAGAGAGAGAGAGAAACATCCATGTGTGGTTGCCTCTTGCGTGCTCCTCACTGGGGACCTAGCCTGCAACCCAGGCCTGTACCCTGCCTGGGAATCAAACCAGCGACTCTGTGATTCGCAGGCCGGTGCCCAATCCATGGAGCCACACCAGCCGGGGCACATTTCTTTTAAGTCTTAAAGTGCAATTTCAGTATCTCCCATGAACATAAAAGTAACACTCAGAGTAGACATAGAATTTGTGAAAGACATAGTAGACACCCATATAAAATCCTTCTACTTTATTACCATGGAAATAATGGAATTTTGAACAAAACGTACCCTTATTCAGTGCAGAGCATTGTTTGGTCACAGTCTAGCCAGCAGGGAGCCAACGAGGTCTTTTCTTACTTTGCGTTTGTAGCATACGGGCCTTCCACTCGCTCCTGAGATGTTAAATAACTCAAAGACGGTTTCCTCTTTCCAGGAGAGAATGTGAGAATGTAGTTTTCAGCTGAAGAGGAGGCTGTAAAGCACACTGAAATGTTTGTAATCTTTTATGAGCATCATATTTTTATTCGCTGCCGACAATGTTACCTCGATTTATCTTTCCTTTCATTGTAAATACAATGGCGTCCCTGTATGTTTAATGGATGTGACAAGGAAAGGGGAAGCCTCCTTTCCAGGAAGAGGCCCTGGATTACAGGAAACGAATTGAGTGAGTTACTAAGATATGCCGTTACTGCTATTGATCTTTGTTCCTGATGGCAAGATAGGCCGTGTC